AGAAGAAAACTCAGCACTGCTGGGGTAAAGGCTGACACCTTGGGATCAGATAGATGATGGAATCTTATTCCAGGCCTTCTGAGGTTTCATGCTCACTGAAAAGAGAAAAGATGTAATGTTAGAGATGTGATGGCATGAAATAGGGAGGCAGAGTATAACTCAAGTTAATTTCAACATAGCTGGTAGTATTAAAAGTTTTCCCTTAATCCATTCTCAGCACCCTACTACAAAACACCACAAAATAAAAATAGACAATATAGTCTCTGTAGAGTCCACTCCCTCTAAATGTGCCAATTAATTCCTGAGCAAGTTCTACCAGTGATTATTTTTGTATGAGTGTACCGTCAAATCAGATCTGACTGGTACAGGAGGAGACTGTCCCTCCTTCCCCGGCAGAGCATCTGGTGAATTCAAACCGTGCACCTCTGGGATTGTAGTTGCAGCTCCTTGCCACTAGGCCACCAGAGCTCCCCTCTCTCTGCATCTTTCAAAGCACTCACCTCCCAGATACTTACATGGGAGAACTCTGACTCTGTAATTTCAAGCTTTTCCAGGGGGGATGAACTAACAGGCAGGAAAAAAAGAAACAATGAGAAGAATTAGAATATAAAGATGAAAGGATTCAAGACAAATTTCATATTATTCCTCCATATTTCATCTCCAAATTAATTCAGAAAGAAGATATTTAAAGAACTACTAGACTTACAGGCAAAATATTTACACTACCTGGTCAATTTCTTGAGTATTATAATGTTATTTCCCAGTGGCCTCCTCCTGTCTTCAGTCTGTAGGTGTAGGGGCCTCTAAGGTGGCTATCAACAATCCCTGCGTCCTCCCAATCACATCAAAAGCAAACCCAACCTACTGCTGTTGAGTTGAATCCAACTCCAATCAACCTGGTAAAACCGTAGACTGCTTCCCAGGGCCTGTAATCTTTACAGAGGCTAAATGCTTCTCCTTTCTCCTGCAGCATTTTAAATCCACAGGCCTTCAGTTAGCACCTCTCAACTGTAACCATGTCCACCTAAGCACCGTGACCTTGTGTAATTCCCTCCTCTTCAGGTAGAGTTAGTGACTCTCTTCTAAAGAACAGAATGACGTGAAGGTGGCTGATACACAAACATTAGGAAACAAAAAAGAAAAGACTACAGCTTCTATTTGCGCTCATGCTCACTTAGGTGCCTGCTCACTGCATGAAGCTGTCATGCTGTTGTCCTATGGGGAGGGTCATGTGACAAAGAACTGACAGAGTACTATGGGCCAATAGCCTACAAGGAACTGAATTTTGCCAACAACAACGTATGTGACCTTGGAAGCAGATTTCCTTCTAGGTGAGCCTTCATATGAGACCAGTGCCCTGGGCAACAGCTTGACTGTAATATCCAAAAAACCTTAGCCAAAGGCACGCAATGAAGCCACAACGAGATTACCTGACATACAGAAGCTATGAAATAATGTTTATGACATTCAGTTACTAAGCCTTAGTGAACTTTTTATGCAACTTTTTTTTTCTCTTGGTGATTATGGTTAAGAATTTTATTATCAAAATTATTACATCTCTTGTGAAAGTTCAAATGTTACAGCAAGGTGTAAACACTCTACTTGAGAAAGAAGTGATACTTCTTCCCTTCCAAGATTCCCGTCCTCCCATGCCCCTCCCCCCAAGAGGTTTGGTCTTGACAGCACCCTGCCCACACAGAGTGGCTGGGGTCTCTGCACGTGCCAGGCAGGGTGAGTGTCACCTGCCCGCTGGCCTCTCCCCTTGGTTAACAGCCAAAGGGAGACTGCAAGCCCCAGCCCAAATGAAGAGACATTTACATACATTTTATGTAATATACAAAGAAACCAGCATCCCAGACAACATGATAGATCTCCACTCCCAACGCTCTCCCAGACTTGATGGGTGTGTGGGGAAACAACAAAAAGCAGTGTACTCTGCTGATGTCTCAGCATTCAAAACAAAAAACAAAACAAACAACTCCCCTCATTTGAGCAAACACCTGATTTCAATTTTAAAGAAGTGAATTTTGTAACAGTCACACATAAATAGAGAAGACTGTGCATATGATAGTTGTAAAAGAGGGTAGAAAGGGAGGAGATGCAAGAGGCCGGGAGGAAAAAAGAAAAAAAAAATTAGAAGAAAAGGAGACTCACAGTATTATCTTGTCCAAAAGAAAAGAAGTAAGATCCACTGCAGCACCAGGGATTACACCTGTCATATATTTACTACCCCTACCATGGTTATAACTGAATAAAAATTAGATAAAAACAAGCCAGATATTACAGTAAACAAGTGAAAGAAAGAAGCTGGCAACCATATGTAATTAAAAAAGACTGTGTACTCCACCTAGACCAGGCACGATGCACTGACGGGAGAAGCCAGTCTGTTCTCATCTCTCATCCAGAACAGTGTTAGGTGTGTGGGTGGTGTGTTTAACTCTTACCTTGCCCCACTCTCAACTCAGGAAGATCATACACCCCCCCAAAAGAAATGTGGGATATGCCCACACACAATCGCAGTCCTGTCGGTGCCACTCCACAAATATTTTCTGTTCTTACCCTGCAGTCACGAGTTATGCAGCAACTTTTAATGCAACAATACAGATTTTAGTAACTCAAAGTAAGGTACTGCAGTAACAAAAACGTGTTAAGTAGGGGGAGTTTTGAAAAGGAGGAGGAGGGCTGAGATAGCTTAAGAGAAAACTTACAAATTCCTTAAACACTATAAAAACTACGACTGTCAGAGTTGTTGGTAAGGCCTTGAAGGAAAGTGAAAAAAATCTCACTGCAAAGTGGAGGAAAGAGGACTTTGGTAATGCAGTCACAAAAATCTTACAATAATGTTATCTGCAAATAAGGAGATTTCTAAGCAGCCCTGTCCTGACCCAGTCTCACTGATTCTGACACATCTACCTCTATTACTGCATCAATCCATCTCATCCAGGTCTTCCTCTCCTGAGCTGTCACTCCACCCTTCTGAGCATGATGTCCTTCTCCAAGGACCCATCCCTCCTGGCCAAGTGCCCAAAGTATGTGAGATGGAGCTTCAAAATCCTAGCCTCCAAAGAGAAACTTGGTTTCACCCTCTCCAAGACGGACCTATTTGTTTTCTTGGCGGTCCATAGTATGTTCAAGACTCTTCCACAGCACTAAAACTCAAAGTCACTGACGATTCTTTTGTCACCCTGACTCAATGTCCAGCTCTCTGATGCATAACAAATAATCATAAAGACTGTAGCCTGGATTAGGCGCACCTTACTAATCTCTAGACTGACATCGTTACTTCTCAGTACTCTGGAGAGGTCCCTGACAGCACATTTTCCCAGTGCACAATAAAATACTATGCTACTCTGTAGTTTGTAAAAACCTGCATAACATGGATGAATTTGGAGGACGTTGTTGTTATGTGCCCTTCATGCATGGCAATCCCATATACAGCAGCTCTGAACCCTGCCCTGTCCTGAGTGACTCTCATTAATTCCAATACATCAACCCCCCACTGACATCAAGGTCAACTGGCCTAACACAGTCACAAAGTCTACTATACTGGCGAGCAGGAATTGGGATCTGACAGTTTTCGAGCAACCCTGTAAAGTCGTTTCTCTCTGTCTAGAACACGAAGAACAAAGAAAATCAGAGAGAAACAATTACTGCAGAGGACTAACGGACCACATGAATGTCAATCAGAACCACCCTCAGATCAGAACCAGACAAAATGGGCAAAAAATGTGGGACAAAACTTAAAAACAGGGTTATTGGTCTGACAGACATTGGTAGAATCCCGATATGTTGACCCCTAGTTACTTACTCTTTGAGCCTGGAACTAAACTCTCTCCTATAAGCTTAACTTTCATCTAAACATAGAGGTCTATAAGATGAAAAGTAATAACATCAGGGTAGTCCTCACTCCTTACAATAATCAACCATATACAGTAAAAGGAATAAAGGTTAGAAGGCAGGAAAAAAGAATTAATGAAAACAAAAATCAGAGGTAGGAAGTAGGCAGAGTGTGCAAAGAATGCTGTTATTGTTATGTGCTATCAAGTCACTTGCAACTCACAGTGACCCTATGTTCAAAGGTTTTGAGCCCTGCCCTATCGTGAGCCAGTTTCACTATCTCTGACACATCTACCCCCATTACCCTAGTCATTGCATCAATTCATCTCATACAGGGTCTTCCTCTCTTGCGTTGTCCCTCCAGTCTTCCAAGCATGATGTTCTTCTCCAAGAACTGGCCATGTCTCCAAAGCATGTGAGATGGAGGGTCACAATCCTTACTTCCAAGGAGCAGCCTGGTTTCACCTCTCTAGGATAGATGTTTATTCTCTTAGCAGTCCATGGTATGTTCAATACTCTCCTCTAGTGCCACAATTCAAAAGTATCAATTCTTCTATCTTCCTTAGTCATTGTCCAGCTCTCTGATGCATAGTAAGTAATTATGAAGACCATGGCTTGGATCAAGTGCACTTTAAGCCTCTAGACTGACCTCGTTGCTCTTGAGTACTCGGAAGAGGTCCCTGACGGCAGATTTTTCCCCAATGTAATTTATCTTTTGATTTCCTGGCTGCTGGTTCCAAGAGTGCTGATTGTAGCAAGCTGAAACTATTAACAATCTCAATCTCTTCTCATCATTAAGTTGCCAATTGGTCCAGTGGTGGGAATCTTTGTTTTCTTGATGTTGAGCTTCAACAGGTATTTTAATTAGTATAATTTAGAAAATGTATATGAATGGTTGAATTTATACAAGTCAATGCTCTGTAAATTTTCATTCAAAAAAACAACAATCTATTGGGTAGCAGGGAAAAAAAGACAAAGCTTAAGAGTTTTACTATAAGATGTTGTTGTTGTTGATTGCCTTTGAGTCAAGCATGACTCATAGTAACCCTATAAACAACAAAAGGCCTGAAGCCTTTGTATAACTATCAACATTTATCAAAATTCATAGAGTTTACGGAGGCATGCTACTCCTGCTTCCAAACCTGTCTTAAATGGGGAATTCCACCAAACACTTTCTACCATGGTTAACCGTTATGGCATCTGACACCCCAATGGCAGAAGGTTTTAGCATCACAGCAACCCCAGGTTACCTCAGTACAGCATACTGACAGAAGAGTGCTGTATCACATAGAAGAATATTTCTCCAAAATATAAAAACAACCAACTTTAAATACAAAGGCCCTCCCTGAGGTCCTGTTGACTAAATAAGTGGCTTAAATAAAAAACAATTATTATAAGTATATTATTAATAATGTTATAAAACAAAATGTGCATGAGTGAATGAAAAACCATTACACATTGTAAACTTTCATTCAAATCACAAGGAAAATATAAAAACAAAAATTATTTTTATTAACATCGCAGAAAAACCAAAGGTGGTGCCTCAGTCACACAAAAAGCCATTTAAAGAGACTGAAAGTCTCACAGAACATCTCAACTGACCTTTAAGTTTAGGGCTTATCAAGAAAAAGATTTGTGGGTACGGCTCTTAGTAAATGGAATAAAACCCAGTGAGATAACACACACACACACAAATCTGAGAGAATTATAACTGCAAGATTATCAGCATGGACTGAGAGGGAAAAACAAAGCAGAGCCACCACCATCTGAGTCAATTCTGACTCTGGGTGACACCCATGTGACATGCTCCACAGGGTTTTCTTGGCTGTAAGCAGAAGGAAGCTACTCTCTTTCTCTTTCTTCCATGGAGCCACTGCTGGGCTGAACTGCCAACCATCACCAACTTCAAAACAGAAATTACTAAAAAATGAAGAGACCATGGTGTTGTTGTGTACCAGAGTCAGAAGTGACCCACAGCTGATCCCCCAGGGTGATTTCTGAGGTAGGTAATAGCACAAGAGAGATGTGCCCATACTTCTGCAAAATTCTCCTGTCAGGAGGGAAGATGAGAAAACAACTCAGCTACAAACACATTCCAGCTTTCATTAAAAAGGAAGATTCAGAAAGCAAAACCAAGGGTCAAGTGCTGAATCACAAATCATGGAATTACTCCTTACTTTGAGATTTATCAATCAACTTCTAGCTTCTTCAGAAGCTCGACAGATGAGTGATTCTGTTGTCTCTCATTATCCTTTTGCGAACAGGAATATGTTTGTAAGTTATTATCAGATGCCATCTAGTATGACTCATAGAGACCCCATGAAAAACCAATCTGAGCCCTGTCCTATCCTGTACCATCTTCACAGTCTCTGACACATTCAAGCGCATTGCTGCAGTCACTGTGTCATTCAACCAAGTTGAGGGTCTTCCTCTCTTTTACCTTCTTTCCACCTTTCTAAACATGATGTCCCTCTCCAACGAATAACCACTCATAGCAACATGCTCAAAGTATGTGAGACGAAGCTTCATCATGTCTGCCTCCAAGGAGCACTCTAGCTGCATTTTTTTCCAAGACATAAATGTTTGTTCTTTTGGTGGCAGTCCCTGGAATATTCAGTACTCTTCTCCAACACCACAATTTAAAGGCATCTATTCTTCTGTCACCCTTATTCACTGGCCAGTTCTTGGATACATAGCAAGGGACTAAAAAGACCATGATCAGGCACACACACCTTCGTCCTCAAACACACCACTGCTCCTCAATAATCTGGGTAAGTCCGTGATTACAGACCTTCTCAGTGAAACATGTTTCATGATCTCCTGACTACTGGTACCAAGTGGGAGATCATTCATGGGAGAAGCTCAAATATCAACAGTCAAAACCGGGCCAGGTGGTGACTGTAGAAAGACTATCAATTGCTCATGTGGAAGTTCAAATTGAAGTTGAAGAAAATGAAAACAAGTCCACAAGAACAAAAATATGATCTTAAGTCTATCCCACTTGAATTTAAATATCATCCTAAGAATAGGTTTGAAGCACTGAACACCAGTGATCAAAGACCTGAAAAACAGGAGAAAGAAAAAAACAGAATGGATATTAAAGAGACCCTAGAAATTGCACTAGGGCATTGAAAAGCCAAAATAAAAGGAACAGATGCTGACATTAAAAAGTTGAACAGAAGTTTTCAAAAGGCAGTTCAAAGGTAGCTCTGGTGCCCTACTGGCAAGAAGCTGTGCTGCAATCCCGAAGGCATGCAGCTTGAATCCACTAGATGCTCTGCTGGAGAAGAATGGGCAATCTCCTCCTGTGCCAGCTGGATCCAATTTGACTGTACACAACAAGGAGTGGGGAAAAAAGAGAGACAAACAACTAAAAAGGCAGGTCAGGAACACAAAGCAACTGCTGTAAGAGAATGTACAGAGACTTGTAACTGAACTCACTCAGCATTTCTCAAGCTGAAAGAACTGAAAAACAAATTCAAGCCTTAAGTTGTAATACTTAGGGATGCTATAGGCAAAATCTTGAATGACTCAGCAATATGTATAGTGGCTATCGTATGCTTAGCCCATCTTTGCTGTAAACGTATAGGGCAGATAATATGCCTTAATTTCACAGGCCCACAATTGGAGAGGTATTATAGTTGAGGAGCATTATATATAGCTGGGGAGTCACGCTCGGACCTGATTTAGATGGCAAAATTCTGAACCGGAAGCTAATCAGACTTTTGGAGGACTTGGGAAGAAGAGTGTGTTCTGCTTATGGGAGGGATGTGAATCAACAGGAGCCACCATTATGCAATCTCTTCCTCTGAAGCATGGGCTGGATTACTGATGAGAACAAAGAACACAGATGGAATATCAATTCTGAGATTAAGTCATAAAAACTGTGGCTTCTATTTAGGCATGTGTTTTCTCACTCTGTGGGAAGCTGCTAAGTTCTGAGTTGGCCTATGGAGGGATGCATTTGGCAAAACCTAAGAAAGCCTGCAGCCTCCAGCAATAGCCAAAACAGAACTAAGGCCAATAACCCACAAAGAACTAAATCCTGCCAACAACTACGTGTCAGCTTAGAAGTAAATCCTATCATATTTGTGTTTTAGACCTGGTCAGCACCTTGACTGAAATCTCATGAGTGACCTTGAGCCCAAGGATCCAGTTAAGCTGAGGGTTTTCTGACCTAGACAAACCATGCTTGTTATTTTAAACTGAATTCTGTGTTGATTTATTTCATGTAATAGATAAATGATACTCCAACCTACTATTACTAAATCAATTCTGAATCACATCAACCCTACAGGACAGAGTAGAATGGTCCCAAAAGGTGTCCAAGACTATATATATTCCCAGAAGCAGACTACTGTATCTATCTCTCACAGACCAGGCTGGTGGGTTTGAATCTTTCGGGTAGGGGCTGAACACATAGCTACAGGGTCACTACGTATCCCTCCATACCAGGAAACAAAATTAAAATCTTTCCTCTGGACTCTTTTGGAATTATATGTTGTCTTCACTGCTCAGGCCTTTTTACAGACTTCAATCCAAGGCTTAGAATTCTCAGTAACTCATAAGATGATGAAAGGTTAGTTGGATTGGATTATTTTTATTAATACCAAAAATGTCTGCATAATAAAGGCTTTCCCTTTCACCTTGAAAATAAAGATGAAGAGAGGTTGATGCATTTTTCTAGTTAAAAATGAGTCTTAAGGTGACTCTGTATAGATTTGTTGTTGTGATATGCTATTGAGTCAGAACGGACTCACACTGACCCGACAAACAAAAGACCTGAACTTGGTCCTGTCCTGTACCATCCTCCTTATCTGTGACACACTTGAATCCACTGTCACTGTTAATCCATCTTATTGAGGGTCCTCCTCTCTTTCGCTGACCCTCCACCTTTCCTAGTGGGTTTTTAGAGGCTGTAAATCATGTGAGAGATTTCTTTCTCTCATGGAGCAACTGGTGGATTAGAACTGTCTGCCTTTGGGTGAGCAGCACAACTCTTGACCCACTAGGCCACCAGAGCTTCCTCATATGAATCTAGTGAAGAGGAAAAGACAAACAATGACCCAAGGAAAAAAGAGTATCTCTCTAGTCAAGGAACCAACCTTGTGGTTAGCATTTGCAAGTCCTCATTTATTTCCTCCAGAGGTGGACTCTGAGGTAAAACATCAGGACGACCGAGGTGGACACCTAAATAAATTAAAAAATAAAAAAAAAAGGAGAGATAAATAAATTGTAAAGAGGAAGATAAAGGGTAGGGAGAGTACAGGAAAAATTACATAGGAATTTGGTTTTTTCCTTGGCAGGAAGAGGGAGCAGTAATCCTAGCCACAGTTAATATGGGGGCTCTGAAGGAAGGTAGGGGGTGTCGACTATACAGGTACCCCAACCTTGGCGCTAACCTGGCTCCACTTCCGCCTTTGTTGTCACTTGTGCCTTGTGTTCCCCAGATACTGTTGGCTGGCAGCAGGAGTTGCCGCTGGGGCCTGCTCGCTGAGAGAAAGATGCGCCAGACCGAAACTTTTTGGAAGGAGAGGACTTCACTTCAAAATGGAAAGAGAGAGCCTACTTAGCACCAGCTCAGAAACCATCACCAAGACACAGAAACAAACTGCCAGTGTCCTCAACATACACCAGAGTTCTAGTCTGCAAAGTGGGAAGAAGGGTTAAGAGCAGCAAAGAAAGATGCTAGACAACTCTCCAGAGGAGGGGTGACAGTTCACTTCACTCTGGAAAGCAGGGAACCTCCAAGAAAGGTGCCACATGCAGTTTCTCCTTGCTCAATGTACTTGCGCTGTAACATCCATGTATTTATATCAGCCTGATGAAATGGCTTTTATTCCATAATCCCTTCAACACTATCCTCTAGTAAAACCTGACAAAAATAACCTTTTCATTCACATCATCTTAGTACAAAGCACTATATTTTTCATTTGTTCACATGTCACTTTGAAAAGACTTGAAATAATTTTTATTATTTGTCATATTTTATAAATGTATCCTAAGTCTGTTGGGTCTGCCCAGGTCCTTCTTCCTGAGATGTCCTCAACTGACATCTATCATGAGGAAATGGCAAGGAGGAGGAGTTGGAATGTGCCAGTGGCAACAACATAGAGGCTTTGGATAGAAGAATACTGGCACTTTCCAATCTAGAAAGTTGAGAGAACAGACTACAAACACTTGCTAAGCAAAAATCAGTAAAAGCTTCTCCAACTTTTATCCTTGTCTGTTTGATCCTTGTCTGATGACTCCCTGGCATTGGAATAAGGATGAACAACAGAGTACTGGTAACACCCTCGCTTATCTCTGTCCATAAACTTCTGGTGCTGCCTACCTCAGCATGTGGCATGCATCCTACATACACAACTAAGTATGTTTTGCAATCCCACCATCTCCCGAGAAATGCCCCTCACCTCAGTGACACATGTAGGGAGAGCCAGGGGGAAAGCAGCAACTTGAAAGCGACTGGGACAGACAGAATGACTGACACAAGGACTGGCACCAGCTCTCACAGGACGAGGGTAGAGAAGGAGAGGCCTTTGGCCTTGGCAGTTCTCTGACAGAGTTGTGCTGCCCCTCATCTCTTGGGGTAGGGGAGCCACTGGGGAGTCATCTGGTGGAAGCCACTTACAGGGGATCTTCTTGAACACTGTGTTGCACATGAAGCGCTGGAACCGTTCAGCGTAGAAGCCTGGGCGATGCACTGATACGGTATCCTGAAGAACAGAAGCAATAGCTACAGAGTTAGACCCTCCAGCACGTTTTCAGCAGCTATAAATTGTGTATGAGGCGACTGCCCATTTTTCTCCTGCAGAGCCACTAGTGAATTAATCACAAGAGGTGTCATTTCCGCCCCCCCTTTTTAAATTATTATTATTAATTTCAGTGAACATCTACAGAGATTTTGGAATTCCATTCATTCATTGATGCACTTTTCTCCCCACCCACACCCCCAGTTCGCTAAGAGGTGCCATTTTTTAATCAGCAGCATCAACTCCCCACTCGTTAGTCAACCAGAGTTCCATAAAGCAGTAAAGAGGACAGAATCCCTGCAAGGGAGCCTCTAGTCCAAGGGCCATCCTGTAGAACCCACAAAGGAAATTAGATAAGGAAGAAATGGAAGAAACTAAGAGGGTAAATAAAATGTGAGGGTGGAAGAACCAGCCCCCACCTGACTGCTACTTACCCCATCATGTACCAGAGCTTTCCAGGAGTGCTCCAACTTCTTAATAAACCTTCCGAGAAAAAGTTAAATTGAACATTCGCATTGTTTCTTAATAAAGAACCGTAACAGTTTTCTGATCTAAGGGACTAAAGATGAAGGGATAATGGAGAAGAAACTGAAAAAGTTTCTTCTCTTCCAAAAGGAGGCATGATAGTATCTATTTAGCATGGAGACCAAGGTAGTTTGTAGGAGAATCAATTAACATCGTATGGGTAAAGGACAGTCACTACTCCATTAGCAAGTCAATGACAAGATTATGAAGGAAGATCTAGAGGGATGGAAAGGTAAAACCAGAAAGGGGGGCTAAAACTGGATGGTAAGGCTCTAGATCAGTAAATCAACAAGTTTTGTCCAGTCCTCAATAGAATCTAAAACCTTTTAGGAACAGAACTAGAGTCTAGAAGTTCCAGCTCTGCCCTCATCATCATTTCAGTGTCTCTTAGTTCCACAAGGTAATATTTTTAATAGAACACAGTGACCCTCCTGTTATTTCTCTGTGGAAAAGAATGCTGTTTCCAGCTATGTCCCAATGCAGATTATGACTCATCTTATAGATTTTTCACAGAAGAGTCAGACAGATGGTGTACTCTATCCTGGTGCTTCCAGGGACTAATTCTGACTCGGCTTTCCACAGAAGGTATGTCATGTTTGGGGAGGTGGTAAGGAGGAGAAGCCCAACAGAGAGGCACAAACAAGGAAATAATCGACCATTTAAATCCCCAGGATGAAAGTAACAACTCACTGTTCTTACTTGAAGAACTTGGCAACAAATCAACTTAAGAAACATATGAGGGGCTATCTGCATCCTCCCTGCCCCTGACCTAGGATCCACATGCTCCTCACCTGTAAGACTGTAGAATGTCAATGATACCAATATAAAGCAGCAACCTTTCCCCTTTACAATTCCGGGCAGGGATGCCACCCATACTGGGGAAAATAAAGGAAATATGAAAACATGTTAACTACCAGGGGTAAAGGCTACTTCTAACTTTTAGTCCAATTAGGAAATGAAGAATAACACAAACACATAATATTTATGGGGAAAAGATAAGATACTCCCTGCAAGCTCAAGAACCACTTGAAATACATACTATAAATTCTATCTTAATCTCACCTATTTGCCTTTTCCACCCCAGCTCTACCAAACAGAACCCCAAAATCGTATCAGCACAGCAATTCTGAGAACAATTTTCCCAATTAACTTGGCACTTTTGTATCTTAATTTACGCCTACTAAGACACTTGAGATTCATACCACAAATATCTCAAAAACCAATAAATATAAAATTCTAGTATAATTTTCAGACATGTATACATGGCTGAATACAATTTTTTAAGTCTTTTTCTCTTGGAAAGCTCTCTTCAGGGGTACTACAAACCCTCAATTAAGACATCTTTCTTTCCTTCTATACTGCCAAGAAAGCAGATCCATGTTCTCCAAACAATGTAGTTGATTATCTGCTAAACCAGAGATACATCTTCCCAGTTTAGCTTTTCTCTTAAGAAAAAGTGCCATGAGCCTATGCTCTCTATTACCCCAAACTAACTCACTGGTCATCAGTTTCCACTGTGCCACCCCAACGTGCTTCGCCCTGGATGGACTCCATGGCTGTGGAATAGAGAGCCTTTTGGGGGGCTGGTCGACGATTATCAACTGGATGTTGTGCTTCACTGCCTAAGGGTTCTCTCTGTGCATAATCTATGTTGTGGACAGATACCAAAAGACTATAGTCCATTATCTTGAAGCTCTGCAGCACCTAAGAAAGAAAAAAATACGGGACTTAGGAGATACAATGATTTTTTTCAACATCTAACAATTTCCTAGTATAATTACTATTTTTTAAAATATTGACTCAAAATATATTCACTGTTGCACATTTTCTTCCCTCCTTCCCTCTTCTTTCCTCTTTCCATTTTGCACTGCACCTCTTGTTCAAGATTGCTACCATACATTAATACCTAATCATGTATTCCTTTTGGACAGCTCTTCCTTTCATCTATTCCAATGCAGTGTTCGTTATCTAAGCATCTTTTCCAATTCTCTTCCCAACCCTCCCTATGTCTGTCCTATTTTATAATACCAGTGTCATGCAGTATTTGTCCTTTTATGACCGAGATATTTCACTCAGCATAATGTCCTCCAGCCTCCCACATGTTGTGTAATGTTTTACAAGTTCACTGTTTTTCAATGTTGCATAATATTCCATTGTGTGAATGTACCATAGCTTTTCTGTTTGTTTATTGATGGGCATTTGGATTGCTTCCATCTCTTTGCTATTGTGACTAAGGCAACAATAAAGATGGTGTGCATGTATCTGTGTGAGTTATGGCTCTATTTTCTTTAGTGTATATTCCCAGCAGTGGGATTACTGGGTCAAATGGTATTTCTATTTCTAACTTTTTGAGAAAGCACCAGACCACTTCCCACAGTGGTTATACCATTTTACATTCCCACTAGCAGTGAATACGAGCTCCAATCTCCCCACAACCTTGCCAGCATTTGTTGTTTGCTGTCCTGTTGAACTTTGCTATTGTTGCTGAGGTGAGATAATACATCATAGTTATTTTAATCTCCATTTCTTTGCTAGCCAGAGATTATGAACATTTCATGTGTTTGTTTGCAATCTGAATGTCATCTTTGATCAAGTGTCTATTCTCATTCTATGCTCATTCTGCAGTTGAGTTGTTTACCTTTTCCTTGTGGCGGTGCTGGAGTATTCTATAAATGTTAAGTTCCTTAATTAGTTATGTCATTGTCAAATATTTGTCCTGTTTGTGGGTTTCCTTCTTACTCTGCTGGAGTTTTTTGATGTACATAGAATTTCGTTCTTAGAAGGTCACATTCATCTATTTTATTCTCTCTAGATTGCAGATTTTCATTATGCTTGGAAATCTATTCATGGTTTGGATTAGTGCTTCTATAGTTGTTCCTGGCTTTTCTCTGATTCATTTTATATAGTCTTTTACTCCTGGGTCCCTGACCCACCTTGATTTTGTTTCTGTGTATGTTAAGAGGTGTGGGTCTTGCTTAAGTTTTTTGCATATGATTTTACAATTTTGCCAACACCATTTGAAGAGGCTGTCATTTCCCCATTCAACTGATTTTGTCTCCTTGTCAAAAAAATCAGTTGTCCATAGATGAGCTCATTTCTGGGTTCTCAATTCGATTCCATTGGTCTATGTGTCTGTCACTGTACCAGTACCATGCTGTCCTGAACACCACAGATATAGTAGGATTTGAGATTAGGAAATGAGCTGCCTCCTAACTTTCTTCTCTTTTTCAGTAGTGCTTTGCTTATTCAGAACCTCTTTGGTACAATTATTCTTGATAGTAAATCTCCAGTGCAAACCTGCATCAGTCACTCTTTATTTATATCTCTTTATCATAGTCTAATTTGAGTAAATATAAATTATTTCCAGGCTCCTCCACCTAGCTAACAAGCTGGCTTTATTTTTAACTCTTCATGAATGAACATTATATTCTCAAGAGGATAAGGAATATATGATTGTGCTTTAAAGAGTATACAAAGAGGGTCTGGTAAAGAACATGACAGGGTGGATCCATTGTAAAATCTTATTAATACCAATTCTAATTCAGTTCCTTTACTGAATGTCTACCATATATAAGCACTGTGCCTGGTTAGGGGAATTCAAAGAGATGTAAGAAGTTTCTGTCCTCAATATAATACAATTTCAAGTAATTACTGGTGGTTGCTGTTGTTAGGCACTGTTGAATTGGCACCCTATAAACAGATCTGAATCTTGCCTTGTCCTGCCACGTCCTCATAATCTCTGATATGCTTGAGCACACTGTTACAGCCACTGTGCCAATTCACCTTGTTAAGTATTTTCCTCTCCTTCTCTGAACCTCCATTTCCCCAGCATGACTGATGTCTTTTTCCAAGGACAGGTCAGTCCTTCCTGTTCATGGTACATGAGATGAAGCTTCACTATCTTTGAGGAATATTACTGTCACATGCCATCAATTCAGAACTGACTCATATCTGACCTTTCAGTAGGTTTTCAGAGGCACTAAATCGCATAGGAGACTGTCCAATTTTCTTTATAAAAGTGCATGTAGATTCAAACCACCTGCATATGCATTGGTAGCACAACTCTTTACCCAATTTGCCACCAGAACTCTGATAAAAGTACTGTTGCTGTTATGTGCCATGGAGTTGCTTGCGACTCAGAGCGACCCTATGTACAACAGCCCTAAACCCTGTGCTATCTTGTACCAATCGCACTGTCTCCGACACACCCACACAGATCACCCCAGTCACTGAATCAATCCACCTCCTAGAGGATCTTCCCTCCTGCAGTGTTCCTCCACCCTCTCAAGCATGATGTCCTTCTCCAAGGACCGGTCTCTCCTTACAACATGACCAAAGTATGTCAGACGAAGCCTCAGAATCCTTGCCTCCAAGGAGCAGCCTAGTTTTACCCTCTCCAGGATAAACCTGTTCGTTTTATTAGCAGTCCATGGTACCTACCCTCAATACTCTTCTCCAGCACCACAGCTCAATGGCATCAATTCTCCTTAGTGATTGCAAAGACCATGGTCTGTATCAGGTGCACCTTAATCTCCAAAGTGACACCATTGCTCTTCAGTACTTTGGAGAGGTCCCTAACAGGAGACTTTCCCATCAGAATACATCTTTTAATTTCCTAGCTGCTGGTGCCAAAGTGTTGGCTGTGGAGCCGAGCAAACTAAAGCTGTGAACAATCTCAATCTCTTCACCATCTATCCTGATGCTGCCAATTGGTCCAGTGGTAAGAATCTTTGTCTTCTTGATATTCAGCCTCAATCCATATTGAAAGCTGTAGTCCTTGACCCTCTACAGCAAGCGTTTCAGGTCCTCCTCAGTTTCAGCAAGCAGGTTGTGTCATCTGCATAACGCAGATTGTTGATGGATCTTCCACCAATCCTGATGCTACAATTCTCCTCAAAGAGCCCAGCCTCCCAGATAATCTGTTCTGCATACAGGTTGAAAAGGTATGGAGATAGGACACATCCATGGCGTACATCCTTCCCAATTTTGAACCATGCAGGGTTCCCTTGCTCTGTTCTGACGATTGTCTCCTGGTCCATGTATAGATTTCACATTAGCATGATCAAGTGTTCTGGGATTCCCATACTTCTCAGAGTCAGCCACAGTTTGTTATGACCCACACAGTCAAACGCCTTTACATAGTCTATAAAACACAGCTTTAGGCAGAATATTAAATGATCCAGGAAGTATTAAAAGAAGATGGAAAGAGTCTAGAGAGTCACTATATCGAAAAGAATTGGCAGACACAGAAGAATTTCATGAAACATATGAGTAAGAGCCTTTGGTGATGAAGGAAGAAGTTCAATTTGCTTTGAAGGAGTTAGCAGAAAATAAGGCCCCAGGAATTGATGGTATACCAATTAATGTATTTCAACTAACAGATGCTACCCTGGATGGGCTCATGAAGTTGTGCCAAGAAATCTAGAGGACCACCACTTGGCCAACTGACTGAAAGAGACTTATATTTGTTCCCATTCCAAAGAAAGGTGACCCAACAGAGTTTGGAAATTATAGAACAATATCACTGATATCACATGCAACCAAGATTCTGCTGAAGATTATCCAAAAACAACTGGAACAGCACATCAACAGAGAACTGCCAGAAGCCCAGGGTGAGTTTAGAAGGGGTCGTGGTACTAGGGATATTGTAGCTAATGTTAGATGGATCTTAGCTGAAAGAAGGGAATACCAGAGGAATGTCTATCTGTATTTCACCGATAAGAGTACAAAGGAAGAAATTAGTGATAAAGAATACTGCCAAAGCTTGGCTGCATTAAATAACTTGTTATTTCTAAGAAGGAATAATTTGGTATTATTGTTCTTGTGTGCCATCAAGTTGGAAATGACTCATAGTTGACTATCAGGTTTTCAAAAGCAGTAAATCACACAGGAGGTTAAATGCCTATGCTTCTGCCACTGAGCACCCAGTGGAATGGAACCACGTGTCTCTGGATTGTAGCACAGACTCTTACCACTAGGCCACCAGAGCTCCCAATTCAGCATTAGGAGAATATAAAATGCAAGGCATGGTATGGGAGATTAGTGAGGTTGGCAGAACTGTATCTCATGGTGAAGACCTTAAACTGTATACTGAAATTCTGAACTCTTACCACAACAAGATAAAGGTAAATAATCCAATAGAAAAATGGGCACAGGATATGAACAGGCACTTCACTGAAGACGACATTCAGATGGCTAACAAACACATGAAGAAATGCTCAAAATCCCTAGCCCTAAGAGAGATGCAAATTAAAACAACTATGAGATATCATTTCACCCCAGTCAAAATAGCAAAATTTAACAGAACAGCAAGCAACAAATGCTGGCGAGGTTGTGGAGAAACTGGAACCCTGATTCACTGTTGGTGGGAGTGTAAAATGGTGCAACCCCTGTGGAAAGCAGTATGACGCTTTCTCAAAAAGTTGCAAATAGAGATACCATTTGACCCAGCAATTCCATTACTGGGAATATACCCTGAAGAGACCATAGCTGACATCCAAGCAGATATATGCACACCCATGTTTAGTGCAGCTTTGTTCCCAATAGCAAGGAGTTGGAAACAACCTAAGTGCCCATCAACAAACGAATGGCTAGAGAAGCTGTGGTATATTCGCACAATGGAATACTATGCTGCATTAAAAAACAAGGAACTCATGCAATATTATTCAAAATGATTGACTCTGGAGAACATTATGCTGAGTGAAATATCCCAGTCACAAAAGGACAAATATTACATGATGCCACTGTTGTAGAATGGGACTGTCCTTGGGGTTGGGGAGAGACTGAGTAAGATGGGTTCAATAATGTATACTGCACTGAAACAGAGGAGGGAGAGAACCGTTTAAAAGAGAGATATAACTGGGTATTTCTGTCATCACAGGAGACTAGAGCGAGGGCTGCATGGTGGAGGGGACCTGGGGGAGGGTTTGTAAAACAATGAAAGAATCTTTTCTTTTACTTTTCCATAATTTTTGGACTCATGTACTTATAACTTGTTAGTCAAATTTGTGTCTTCTAGGTTGCAACACCCCCATGATACATCTTCAAGGATATGAACATGTACAGCCAAGCACAATCAATAAGAGTGCATCTAAATTCCAAAATCAATCTCCATAATAGTCTATGTGTTTCCTACTGCCAAAGGGGCCCTTTAGAGTAGTGAGAGAAGATCTTCACCCTGAAACCCACAGCGTCCCTTTTCAGCAGGAAGTAGCTAAGAGAATACGCCATCCCCTTTTCCTTATGACTCAGGGTGAAGTCTCTCTCAGGGAGGAGTGATAGGGAATGGCAAAGGACACACTGACAAAGAAGATTAATCAGAACTGGCTTTGACAAGCACTGTGGCATTTGGACAAGAACAAACTGGGAGGAGGGTAGAGAGAATAGTGCAACAATGAATGAGTGGAAGCCCAAAATTTCTGTAAATGTTTATGAAAATTAATAAAATATAATAAAAAAAAAACAAAAAAACTCTTGTCCTATTTCAAAACAAGGTGAGAAAGTTTATAATTCCATTAGTTCCAGTAGTTCACTTAGGTTGTACAATTCAACCAAGAATGTTTTTTGTTGTTGTATTACTTTTTTCTCTTGTTGTGTACCATCAAATCATAACCAACTGGCACAGGAGATTAACCCTCCTTCTCCAGCAGAGCATCTGGTGGATTCGAAGTATACACCTTCAGAATTGCAGTGCAGCTTCTTGCCACTAGGCCACCAGAGCTCCCTCAGTCAAGGATGTTTTGTCAGAGGAATAGAGTAAGAGGAGACTGATTCTAGTGAGTGGTTTGAAAGTATCCATTTTCCCACTGGTTGAGTAAGTCTCTAGTTCTTGCCAACAAGGAATCAACCAAACTAGGCATTATCCTGGAAGCAAATGTAAAATGAAAAAAGGATAGACAACATTAAAGAATGGGTAAAGGCAGATCATTCTGCAAGAGAAATAAGAAAAAAAACATGGAAAAATGAGTAACAAAAAAAGGTTATGTTAAGAAGACATAAATAGTCAACTGTCAAACACTACAGAATTCATGACACTGGCATTTAGGTGTTCACTGTGTATAACATCTTTACTGAAGTGGTAAGAGCAATAACTGAATTGAAGCAGGAGTAAAAGATGAGAAAGAAAAAGGAAAAATGGAGTCATCAATAGATGAAGATAATGGGGAAAAATAATCTGTTAACCCTAAGAGATAAATTAAAAAAATAATAACACACCACAAAAAATAAACAACAAAAAAACCCAACAACAACAACCTGAAGATAGAAGGAAACTCTAGTGGCCTCATGTTTAAGGAGTTGTGCTGCCAACTAAAAGACCAGCAGTTCAAATCTACCAGCTATTCTGAGGGAGAAAGATGAGCAATCCATTCCTGTGCAATTTACAGCCTTTGACAATCCACTGCAGGCGGCTTAGTGACAAGAAGCTGAATTACAATCTGGAAAGCACATAGTTCAAATCTACCAGATTCTCTGCTGGAGAAGGAGGGGGCAACCTTCCCCTGTGCCAGTCAGATCTGACTGGATGGTACACAACAAAGGGGGGGAAGCTTCATTGCAATCCAGAAAATCAACTGTAGGGTTAGCTATGAGCCAATTCTAACTCAATGGCAAATAAGAAGATAGCGAGAGATAAACTTGTTTGTAGAAGAAAAGTGCCAGCTGAAGCTAGAGCTAGAAAGGGGAAAAAATGATAGAGGAACAGGAGAGGCTGACTTTGAATAACCTACTAAGTTGGGAACAAAGGAGGCTAGAGAGAGGGGTTTTTTGTTTTGTTTTTTTTTCTAAAAAGAGTTTTAAATATAGATTCATTAATAAGTGGTAATTAGAACATGAAAAAGGGATGAGACATTCACAATAGCAAGAATATAGAAATAGCCGAAATATCAATTAACAAATGAATGCACTCAGGAATTCTGATACATTTCCACAATGGAATACTATGCAACACTAGAAGCAACAATTTCATAAAATACTACATAACATGTGAGAGTTTAGAGAGTATTGTGCTGAGTGAAATCACTCAGTCTTCTAAGGACAAATACTACTTAAAACCATTATTATAAAAATAGAAGGGTAACTAGGAAGATGTGTATAGAGGTCCAGAGGGGGAAAGGGATGGGGGAAGTCACTAGGATAGCAGAGTTTGGTGTGGGTGGGGTGGCTGGGTGGTGGTGTATGAAGTCAGAAAGATCCAATATGGGCCTGAAAATACCCAGTGATGGTAGGCAAAGATCAATGGTGATTCATTTTATAAAACACAATGTATATGAATGATGATATGAAACACAACATGAAGAAATGTGTAAAACACACTGTACATAAATGAAATACAATGTACATGAATTTTCTACGCAAACTAATTAAAAAAAAAGGGATGAGAGGGAGCTCTGGTGGCCTAGTGGCGAGAAGTTGCGCTGCAATACCGAAGGCCCTTGGTTTGAATCCACCTGATGCTCTGTTGGAGAAGGAGGGGCAATCTCCTCCTGTACCAGTTGGATTTGATTTGACAGTATATGTACACAAAAATAATAATAAAATTTAAAAAAAAAAAAAGGGATGAGAAAGCAAAGAAAGTTGAGACAACAGTAAGATAAATAAGGAGGGACACTGAAGTAGGATAATAAATAGCTTGAAGAGGGTGCCAAATACATATGCAAACAAGTTACATCAGACTCAGGCTAGACAGGAAAGAGAATAAAGCTAGGTAGGATGACAAAGAGAAAAGGTGCAAGGAACTAATGTGAAAGTACGTTCAATGAAATCTGAGATGAACAGAATCCTGTTTCCAAACACTGATGAATCACTCACTGGCTATTTGAGATTGAGATTGCAGCAGTATATCATGATTAATACAATAAACTTACCAAACAGTCACGCTGTAGGGTCTTACAAAGAGCATTGTACATATCAGCATCCAAAAATAGACCATCAGGGATGTCTTGTAAGAAGTCCAGGTCTTTTAGGGTTGGGAGAGGTTTCTCTCGCTCTTTTTGGGAAGCCCGTCGTTTGTAGGTTGAGCCTTTAAGGTCATATTTGACATGCATCTTGACTGAACGTGGTAAGAGATTGTTCATCACCACAATTCGAATGTTTTTACCACCAGCTTGCACACAGTACAGACCATAGAATTTAGGCAGCAAAGTTCGAGGGTTCTGGTTGAGGTTCTGAGGACATTAAAATATACAGGAGAGCAGGTTAGGTGATTTAAGTGAAACTTAAAGAGTAAAAATTGTCAGCTACTTTTTCTTTGTCTCTTATGTGGTATAAATAAGTCCACAACATGGTTCTTTACAATTTTCCAATCTATCTCTTATCAGTGATGCAATCACTAGCAAGCAAAGCCACAGTCCATCCAAGAAAGCAGTTAGTCAGGATACTGAATATATGGATCTATTCTGTCAATAAATTTAAGTAAGAATATCTTATGCTTCACCCCAGCTACAGCACGCTCTCCTCTAGAACACCTAAGAATATTAAGTCAGAGTGAGATTGAACACAGTACTACTAAGGGAAATAACCTACCTTATTCCATTATCTAGGAGCTAAGAACAAAAAGAAAGGCAAGAAAGATGGTTTTAAAAAGCATTGTTCTATCTCACACACAAGCGGCCTCCCCAGCCTGAAGTGGGCAGCACAAGCAGCAGGTCAAACTCCTTTTCTACTCACCATGTAGTATCCTGGAAGCAGCTTCTGTAGAAATTCCGCTTCTTTATGCTGGACTGTCTTAATGATGAATTCATCATCACTGGACACATAGAAAAGAGAGCCACTGGCCCCAGAATTGCAGAGTTCAATCAGTGGCTCACTACAAAGGGAGTACTGGGGCACAGAAAGAAGAGAGTGTGATGTTTATAGTTATTAAAGATCAAATTCTATTTTAAGTAAAAACTAGAGAATAGGAGAGATCTTCCTTGGAAATATTTCTCTGATACTGGTATGACAGAATGCTGAAATCCAGAAGCTTACCAAATAATCATCGGGCCGGATGCCAAATAACTCCCGAAAGTAGCGAAAGGCAACAGGTGCATATGTCTTGAAACGAAAGTCACTGTAGTGATGAGCAGGGGTTAGATTGCTCCCTTCGCTG